AGTGGCCATAGCCGTATGTAGTGAGGTTAAGTGATCAACCAGATTCCTTTTTACTCGGATTCTTCCTTTGTTAACATGAATCAACTAAATATGCTGCATTGTAGTTTTAGGTGACAACTTGCTTGGATGTTGTGCCCTCTTTAGTTCCCTCCCAGGTTTGTTGAATGAACTAGAGTACTCGCAGAAAACACAGCCCCATTAACTCTTTCAGCATGGACTCAGTCCCTGGGACTGACCTCATAACCATTTTGTGCTTATTATAGTTTTCATGCTATAACATTTAAATTAGTAAGTATATGTTAACAAAATTTGACAGATTATCAATAAACATTACGATGCTTTCATATGCAAAATATTAATTTTTTTTATTAAGTCTTATGGTTTGTAACGAAATGTTTTCTCATGCCTTTTTTTTTCTTTTCACATGTTGCCTATCCAACATGCAAAGTAATTTTCATTTTAAGATTAAAATTACTTTTATGCATCAGAAAATTTTCAAATTTCACATGCAAAATATTTATAATATCGAGATAATTAACAATCATTTCTTAAGAAAAAACTTTATATTTTATCTGTTATTTTCAGTAATGAATCTCTGTACAGGTTCCGTACATTTGACCGATCTTGTAACCACCATAGAAAAATTAAGAAATAAATTTAAATTATACTTCTTTCATTCTTGAATGAATGCAAATTATAACACGAAAACATAAATGTTTAGACTAAATAGCTTATATCTCATAATATTATACATTTACATATATTTATTATTTTTATTATATTGACCTTTCAGCCATGCCTGGCTAACAATACAGAAGTTACAATGATGGTGCTCACGTGCACTCATGTTACCGTATCAAATAACATAAAACTGACCTTTGGTGTGTACAAAGTAACTTGTCTTGGCTGTGTTTTAGTTGACTAGTATACAGATTACTGTCACATTTTAATTAGTATACATTATATATGTATATATATCATTGCTATTTTGAAATACGTTCTTAAACTTGTTTTTCTTAAAACATAGAACAGTAAATAAAGAAGTAAAGGAAACAATTATCTCTTCCAGTTATAACCTTTGTACTCAGTTGCTGATTGACGAATGTTGCCAAGTTTTTAAAAATTTTGCACGTGGAGGATATGAAACAAAATAATTTTTTTACATTTTATATATACATTTGAATAACTAAAAATCATAAATTACTATATCAATACCATACAATTCCACTATAATTTATCAAGCTTAGTAACTAATCAGTATTTTAGTCTAAAAAAAATATGAAATTTTGAGCAAACTAAAGACACAACCTACTGTCAGAATTTAAAATATATTTCTTCTCCAATTGTCAGAATATGTAGGCTTTTAGTTATATTTCTTAATAGTATAAATATATACTACATTGTTGTTGGGCTTAGGATTCTTCTACAGTAGGTGTCTGTGACTTGTTAACGATAAATTCAATGATGAATAAACAGCATGCACTTCACTTGTTTTAAAAATAATATATGTAATCAGAACAAGTTAACGTATGTATGATAAATTCTTCAACACTATTATGGATATATCATAAATACTATATATGTAGTTCTCTCCTTCTTGTCAAATATCCACTTAGGCCTAATCAATTACTTTAGAATTTCAGTTGACAAGCCGAACTATCTTCTCTATTTCTATCGCACTAGTACTTTCTGTGATTCACTTACAATTGTGGTGCAAGTTACCATAATCATTACGTCTTCTTTCTTTTGAAGAACCTCTGTTCCTTTTGTCAAAGTACACCCAGGCTGATTCAATTACTTTAGAACCATGCTTTGACAGAATAAAATTATCCTTCTTATCTTTTCTACCGTTAGTTTCACTCTTTACACATTAAATGTTAAGCATATGTCAGTCATTAGGTCTATCACTTCTACGGTAGTCGACTTCACATCCAACTTTATTCTCTTTTGCTATTATCTGTCTGCTGTTTCCCACTCGTCTCATGCTATCTTTATCACTTAAGCGTCTGTCCACCTTCTATATTCTCGACATCAATATATTGCATGTAATGTTTGATATTCTCAACATCAAAGAATTATTAACAAAACTTCCTACAGTCATTTGCTTTTAACTCTCATTATAACAAAAACTAAACAATAATAAAGCATTCACTTACAAAACTAAATTAATCAATACTATCCGAATGAAAATCTTTTATATCATGACACCTACCTCATTGAGATCTTGGTTCAAAAGAAAGAGAGGACATCCAAACACGTTAAAATGGCTGAGAAAACCACTAGGGGGACATTCTGAATTTTTTGGTTGGTTATTCATGTCATATATAGAAGTAATTGTATATAATGGAGCATTTCCAAAAATGGAAAGAGGTGGGTGGGGTGCCACTGTGCTTGATTTATTACATGAACAATATCTTAGCAAACAGAAAAGATAAGACATTCTTCTTTTATATTCTAGCTTGTCAATATTATCAATTTGAGTTTCTAATTTGTACAAAACTATAGATTTAGTATTTTGACTTCACAAACATCTAATTTGAACCAGTGCTGCATTCAACATACCACGTGACACACACACAAATCAATGTTTATCTGTGTTTTTTAATATTTACTTTTAAATTAAGAAATTGGGTTATGTATGGTACTAAAATTATCGTATTAAAATTTGAATTATAATTATGAATTATACCAAACTTATTGACATAAATTCATGAAATAGTAGTTCAATAAAATTTTAAATGCGAGTCAACAAACAAGATGACATGGCCTTTCACCCGTGCCGACAATAACATTTCTCTCTAAGGAGGAGAAAACTGCTCCAGAATTCAAGGCAGCCAAGGACAGGTTAATCTTTCTCCTTTGTGTTAATGTTGTGGATGTTGGTATACCGGTCATAGAACTGCAGGGCAAAAAAATAAGCTGCTTGCCCATTTTGTGGAAAAGTAACCAGAGCACTTGGGTCACTGCAGCTATATTTATGGAATAGTTTAACCACTGCTTCATCTTTCAGGTGGAAAAATACCTTGAATCAAAAGGCCTGCCCTTCAAAGTACTCTTAATCTTGGACAACTTTTCAGGCCACCCCACCTAGTTTGCAGTTTGCCCATCCCAATGTGGAAGTGCTTTTCTTACCACCCAACATGACTTCTGTCATCCAACCACTCGACCAGGGTGTGATTGCGATGTTCACAGCTTACTACATAAGGTGCACCTTCAGTCGATTTCATTGTGCAATAAATAATGATGCAACCCTTAATAATAGACAGTGTTGGAAGGCCTACAACATCGCAGACTGCAACTAGGAGTCACTCAATGAAGTCAAGCCATCAGCTATTAATGCCTGTTGGAAGAAGCTGTGGAAGGAGGCACTCAATGTCTTCAGTTGTTTTCTCATCAGCTGAAGAAAAAGTGAAGAGGATCATGGAGTTAGCTCATGAAGTTGGAGGAGAGGGGTTTGAGGATATTGAAAACATAGAAGTTGAAGAACTGATCGAGTCACATGACGAAAAACTGACAGAGGACAACCTAGAAGAGCTAGTGAAAAGTGATGATGACAATGATGATGAGAGTAAAGAGGCAGAAAAACCTAATTTAGATCTACAAACACTAGCAGAGATCTTCAAATGCACCAAACAACTCACTGATAAACATTTTGAATATGATCCCTCCATGGAAGACAGCCTGAAAGCTAAGAGGAAAATTGAGACTGCAATGATGCCTTACCAGGAGATTTATAAAGACCAACAAAAAAAGGATAAACAGCTGCCCATCACCATGTCTCTGCACAGACCATCTTGTGTAACCTCTCATCATACTCCACCTGCTTCCTCTGTCACTGCTACCTCACCTGCTCACCTCCAGAGGAACACTAATCCACCATACCAAAAACATCATTATCATCATCACATTCATCGTCAGCATCAACTTCATCATCACCATAATCGCTATCTTTTACATCATCATTATTAAAGGCAAGTTAAGTAAAGGGATTTTAGTTTAAGATATTTTTACATTACTGTACTATATTTCTCCATTTGTTGTATTAGTGTGTATTACTGTACATTGTTTTTTTTTATTAAAAAATGTGGTTACAGTACGTACTGTACTTCTGTGTGTTGGAAGCCTATATGTATCCTCTTTTGCAAATAGTATTCACAGTTTTAGCATTCGTGGAAATTTCTAGAACCTATCTCCCAAAAATAGCAAGGGATATCTGTACTTATTATAAACCAAAACTACAGTTTTTCCCACAGTAGCATCTTTGGAAACAATACCACTTACTGTAATTTTCCAATCGGAAGCTATGGTTTATACACTAATTTTGTCTACATATCATGCAGTTTATACATTAGTGTGGCTAAGATATGACTTTTTCAGAAGAAGCACTACAAATTTTATGCTACTGATAACTTTTTGCTTAAATTACGTGAAAAGTTTGGTAGCAACATCATTACACTTTGATGGATTTTTTTTCCCCTTGAGTGGTCACAATATGGCAACATCAGAGTAATGACAACCCTCATTTGATAATTTTTTAAAAAGTCACCATGCCATGAGAGAAGCTGACCTCCGGTATCATTGTACTGGTGTGATGCACATGTGTTGTTGTCTTCCATTATCTCTAAAACAATTTTGGAAAATAATAATACATAAAAAAGTCCCAATATTTCTTTTACTTTTATATTTTCTAATTTTTTCTTAGAAAGAAGTAACTGCTATAAAAAAGCATGTTGAATATAAATGAAGTGTTTTCATGTAAGCCTACTGGTAACTCCACAGCAGCTGTGCTACAGCCACAGTTTATACAAGTTTTTTTTTGTAATATTGATTTGTAGAAGCAGCTCATACACAGTTTAGCTTTTAATTGGAAAATTCCGATATCAGTCATTACATTAAAGTTTGTATGTATATATCACTATCAAGTTTCAATAACAATCACATTAAAAACACAATTTTATAGAACTTCAGTAAAAAAACTGTCATACATAATATTTTATTACCTGTCGAGAACAGGGACTTCTTTTTGTTAATTTTCCATCATGATCAAACTCTAGTCTTGTTCCAGAAGAAGCTCCTTTGTTGCAAGTTGTAATTACCACATCACTGTATCAATAAGAATCAGAATCTGAAAACTGGGTTGCTTTAAAATAATATACGTGTAACAGAGTATACAATTATATTCAACACAAGTACAAAACATGTACATTATAATGTGAACCAGGTGAAGCATTACATAAATAAAACAACAAATAATATATTTACCCTAAATCAAGACTATGCTAAGCATGAATTAACAAAATAAAGGTATGTAAGCATACATAAAAAGACTCGGAGAACAGTACCTATATATACACACACAGTTCTTAAATAATTAAATTCTTATCTCTTTTCAAAATGAGCAAGCTTGCCTCTGCTTGGCCTCATTATATTGTGGGGTTATTGCAGTGTGATAATGGTTTACAACTTTTAAAAATTATGCTTTTATGTTCTACAATTAAAAACTGAAAATTTTACTTTAAATACTTACAAATTAATTTATGTATGAAATGCTAGCTAAAACAAGACGTCAAATTCTGAAAACCAGGATGTAAGAACTTGTTAGTGATGGCATTTTTTCATTCATACAGAACAAACTCCAGTACTCAGTGAATAGTGGTGTAAATAATTCAAATTATACACACCTGAAATATATCTTGCAAACTTACACATACTTGTACAAAGTATGAGTGAGTGAGCGAGCAGTCTCTAGATCCAGGAATTAGAAAAACAAATGTTTTTAAACTTGGAATATTAGGTGGTCATATGTGAAATTACAACAAAATCTTGGTTTGAAATATTCCAAGTGGCAAGTTGTTTACTGAAGCACATGAAAAACATAACAAGACTTTATATTTTATAGGATAAAAACAAGTAAATTATTTGGTATCCCAGCTTGAAAAAGATAGTCAGCAATTGGCTATTTGCTAACACTTAAGTACTCATGGATCAAAAAAATAATAATAATATCACATCATGGAAGTTCTCTTTTAAATTCCATCTTAATGGTCTTTTTATAATAAAATAATCATAGTTTCAACACCAGAGCACAAATCACAGGATGGATGATTATGTAATGTGCCCCGTTTTTTTGAGGTGCCATCAGAAGTAAGACCAAATTGCTTTGTGGCTGCATTTTTATTTTTTCAAGTATATTTTTTCATTTATATATTTACTTTTTTTTCTCCTCTACAAAATTAAATCTAATTATATTTCTTCTATGGTTTGAATATGCTGCATAAAATTCATGCTATCCTTCCTTTTGATGTACTCTGTTTAAAAAATGTTTATATATATAGAAATATATATAAATTTAATTATACTTTACCTAAGTTTATAAAACTAATAAAAACGTAATAATTTAGTAAGGTTATAATTTCCCATACTGTTTTAAAAGTAGTCAGTGATCTATGAAAAAAATACCAGTACTCTTCATATAAGGAACTAATTAAGTTAGTAGATTTTCTTTTTGCACAATATATAGCAAAATTCTGAAGTAGTAATGGTTGTTTAACTTTCATTCTGTGCAAAGACTATGTACAATTTTTTTTTTTACATAATAAATAGCTTACATATAAAATCACAAGATAATATGTATTAATCTTAATGATACACATGTTCTTCCCTTGCATCCTTGAAGTCTATCCTTTTCACCATATAATTATTGCATGTACCTATGTTTCCTAAATATTAAAAAATTTTTTTCTTTATTACATGTTATTAGTGAAGGCTTAGAATTGCAATAAAAAATATGGTGCACTATAAGCCTAAACTTCTAATCACAGCCTGTGCTATGATTTTAGAATGATATATTATTTACAAAACATAGGAATATTAACAATATTCAAAATATGAATTGTTAATAACACACTTTTATTTTCAGCTACAGAATGTTTACAAATAGAAAACAAAATCATAAAAAAATAATGTTTGTAAATATAACCACTTAAAATGCAAATAATTCTAATAACGCACAACCAAACTGGCATAATTTCTGTCGTTTTAGTTAGGGTTTGTTTGTTTGTTGTTAAGCATAAAGCTATAAAAT